CATTAATAAACTTTTGGTTTCTGGCTCCTTTAACAAAACTACAGAATAAAGAGTTCTTTGTGCAACTTAAAAGGGTCTTTGATTCATCTCCTTCTCTGACATTTCTCAACTCTAAACTGTCTTAATAATCAATATTTGGATAATATGGATAGTATAAAAATCCTCAATATTGATTGCATTGATAATGATCTTCAATATTTGGATTGCATTGATAATAATCCTCAATATATGGATTGCATTGATAATAATCCTCAAATATATGGATTGCATTGATAATAAGCCTCAATATATGGATTGCATTGATAATATTGCAATAATAATCTTCAGTATATAGATTGCATTGATAATAACCCTAAATATTTGGATTGCATTGATAATAATCGTCAAAATATAGACTGCATTGATAATAATCCTCAATATATGGATTGCATTGATAATATTGCAATAATAATCTTCAATATATAGATTGCATTGATAATAACCCTAAATATTTGGATTGGATTGATAATAATCCTCAAAACATAGACTGCATTGATAATAATATTCAATATATAGATTGCATTGATAATAAGCCTCAAAATTTGGATTGCATTGATAATATTGCAATAATAATCGTCAATATATAGATTGCATTGATAATAATCCTTGAAATATAGACTGCATTGATAATAATCCTCAACATATGGATTGCATTGATAATAACCCTAAATATTTGGAATGGATTGATAATAATCCTCAAAATATACACTGCATTGATAATAATCCTCAATATATGGATTGCATTGATAATATTCCTCAATATATGGATTTAACTTATGAATTGCATGTTTCACAAACACATTTAATGACATAATGGGATACTTTTCAGACTGAAACTAAACATTGTCAATCATAATTTGAACATTGTGAGTGACTTGAGGAAGATGTTGCTTTTAAATGGAATTATGAAGAAAACATGCACCAGTGTATCAATCACAATAAGACCAGAAACATGAATTAATGGGATATTTCAACCAAAAATGTAAATTCGGTCATCATTTACACTTGCGTCGTTACAATCCTGTATGACTGTATGATATTTTGAAATGTCTTTTTCTCTCCATACGATGAAAGTCAATGGGGTCCAAATTAAATGATGACTGCATTTTAATTTTGGTGAAAAATCTCTAAAAATATAAAGTGCATGAATCGCAATGCATGTTTAAGGAAGTAAATAGATGTAATTATTGATTGATTTCACTTTAACCTAAATCTATTGTACATACTTTATGACTTAAATTGAATTTAATGAGCATTAAACTAAATTGAGCAGAATAATGACACTATTATATTCTATAGACTTGCTTTATAGCTCAATTGAATTTTGCAACATTAACGCTGTTATTTATCTTTTTTTACTGTTGCTTTGAAACAATATTGTATAAGATCAGACCTATAGCTGACATCTTTTCTAGTGTGTTTTCTGTAATACTGATGATTAAGATATGCATGTACTGTAATTGATCTTTGCACCCCCAAAAATAAAGAAATTATCCTCTCAACCATCTCTGAATCTCTGTGTCGATCTGATTTAATCTAGTGTAGTTGTGCATGAACACCTGAATAAGCAACATGTCTCTCTCTATGTGTGCCTGTCATGTGTGTTGCTGTGCGTTTAAAAACACATGCGGTTTGTGGGTAAAGGAGAATCTGGGGGTTGCTACACAACAGATTTGTATTGGAGAAAAAAAAGGACATTAACACCAGGTCTGAGTCCAAACTGGGCCGGCTGTTTCTAGGCTGAGAGGTCCAAATCCTACAAGCCAAGACCTCTCTCTCTCTCTCTCTCTCTCTCTCTCTCTCACACACACACACACACACACACGGGCAGCATGTTCAGGGAAGATCGCATGTGTCTGGACTACCGTCATGGCTAACCTACAAGCACAGAAGGAAACGCAAACACCCAACAGACGATCCAAAGCAACACACTCCTGTCATGTGCTGGTGGAATTTCCCCACAGCAGCTGATCTGAGAACAGCCTGGACTTTCTCTCGCACTCCACTTCACTCGAGGGGTAGCGATTAGTAGTCGTGCTTCAAAGGACCACGTTAAGTTGGATCGTTTGAGTTTAATTAGCTAAGATGCAGCAAATTAAACAAAAAGTTTAGAGTTTTGATTTGGATGGATGGACGGACGGACGATTGGATGGATGGAGGGATGGGATGGGATGGGATGGATTGGATTGGATTGGATTGAATGGATGGATGGATGGACGGATGGACAGACAATTGGATGATTGGAGGGATTGGATGGATGGATGGATGGATGGATGGATGGAGGGATTGGATGGATGGATGGATGGATGGACGGACGGACGGATGGATGGACAGACGGACAATTGGATGGATGGAGGGATTGGATGGATGGATGGATGGATGGATGGATGGAGGGATTGGATGGATGGATGGATTGAATTGGATTACCTGGATGGAGGGATGGATTGGATGGATGGATTGGATGGATAGAGGGATTGGATGGATGGATGGATGGATTGGATTGGATGATTGGATTGGATGGATGGATGGATGGATGGATGGATGGATGGATTGGATTGGATGGATGGATGGATTGGATTGAATTGGATTGGATTGGATTGGATTGGATGGATGGATGGATTGGATTGGATTGGATGGATGGATGGATGGATGGAGGGATTGGATTGGATGGATGGAGGGATTGGATGGATGGAGGGGTAGATGGATGAATTGGATGGATGGAGGGATTGGATGGATGGAGGGATGGATGGATTGGATGGAGGGATGGATGGATTGGATGGATGGAGGGATTGGATGGATGGAGGGATGGATGGATTGGATGGATGGAGGGATTGGATGGATAGAGGGATGGATGGATGGATGGAGGGATTGGATGGATAGAGGGATGGATGGATGGAGGGATTAGACGGATGGATTGGATTGAATGGATGGATAGATTGGATGGATGGATGGATGGATGGATTGGATGGATGGATAGATGGATTGGATGGATGGATGGATGGATGGATGGATGGAGGGATGGATGGATGGATGGATAGATTGGATGGATGGATGGATGGATGGATTGGATGGATGGATGGATGGATGGATTGGATGGATGGATGGATGGATGGATGGATGGATGGAGGGATGGATGGATGGATGGGATTGGATGGATGGATGGATGGATAGATTGGATGGATGGATGGATGGATGGATGGATGGATTGGATGGATGGATGGATGGATGGATTGGATGGATGGATGGATGGATTGGATGGATGGATGGATGGATGGAGGGATGGATGGATGGATGGGATTGGATCCATCCACAAAACCAGTACATCTATTGAGAGTCCCCATTTAGATAGCTAAGTAAGCGTGCATGTGTGTGTGTGCGTGTGTGCGTGCGTGAATGTGTGTGTGTGTGTAAGCGGGTCTGTTTATCAGGAGTGCCTGCTGTCATCGGGCCTGTCGGGTGTGTGTGTGCGGCTGCTGGAGACCCATCTGATCAGCGTCTGAAACTGATCTGAGTCCAGTCGACAGGCGGCCCGTCCAGACTGTTTTACACCATCTCAGATAAATACACAGACCTCTTCTGTCCTGCACCTTCAATATTGAGATTCTCCTCATCAAAGACCAGCGATTCGCCAAGCAAGACGCCACTGATGACAAAGACGTCTATAAATGAAAATATGCTATGTTGGGATGAACCAATATGGAAAATTGGGCCTATACTGAAAATGATGTTTTAATATCAGTTAACTGATATAATTGACAGGGTTTCTCTTTTTTAGAGATCAATTTCCCCGATACTTTCCCCTACTATGCTATTTTAAAGATTCATAATTGTTTTTGAGTCTCCTACAATATGCATCCAAGGTTAAAAAAAATAATACTGTAATCTGCTCTGCTCTGATTGGTCAGAAACCAAACGCTCATTATCATATCTGAATCTCAGCTCTTGATCACAGTGATACGAACAGTAACGATGGCGTGGGTTTTACCGTATCAATCTCATCACAGTGGATTTGCTTTGTCAGCAGAAAACAGCGTCTTCTCGACACGAACCAAACTCTCCCAGTCTCAGATAGACTAGTGTTTGAGGGCGGGGCTAAGAGACGCTGTTCAGCCAATCAAGACCATTATGCAAATTAATAACACGCCTACACAGGTTCAGCTACAACTACAGTGTTTGAGGGCGGGGCTAAGAGACGCTGTTCAGCAATCAAGACCATTATGCAAATTAGTTACAAACCTACACCAGTTCAGCTACAACTAGAGTGTTTGAGGAGGGGGGGGCATAGAGACGCTGTTCAGCCAATCGAGACCATTATGCAAATTAGTTGACTGACAGTTCAGAATCGATTCTTTCTTTTAGGAGACAAAAACTCAATTTCTCTGCACTTTGATCTGTGAAACTTTGCAGACATTTTACATTCACAAAACAGCTGCATTACACACTACATGACAGGGAATATACAACCCGATCTCATGGCAATTCGTACGAATCAGCCACATTTTACTCACTCGTACGAATTGGTCGTGAGATAGCGTTGGAACATCCCGAAAAAAAAACACAATAATGGCACTTTATCACAGAATACACTAAAAGCACAAGCATTACTTGTATTAACCCAAAGTTATGATAAAATCCTTCTTTTTTCACAATTAGTTCAACTGACACGAGTATATTAATATGAAAAAAAGCACAATAATGGCACTTGATCACACAGAATACACTAAAAGCACATGCATGACTTGTATTCACGTGACGTTATGATCTTATGTGATATATATCCACAATCAGTTGAGCTGAGTGCACTGGTTTCAGACAGACCGAGGCCTGGGATTCCCTCTCTCTGTGGGGTCAGGTTTAAAGCAATAAACATGTCTTCATAAGCAGCATATGCCTGAGTAGGCTGAGAGTCAGAGAGATGTGTGTGTGTTTCATAGCGAAAGGTGTAAAAACCTCTGACTCACAGAGACGGGCCTGACGGGCTGCTCCTGCGCTTGAACTGCTGTGGAGAAACGTGTCCGCTCGTTCGTCCCGGAGACAGAGAGGGAGAGAGAGAGGCTGGAAATGCAGTTTCTGAGTCAGAGCTGGAGATGTGATAAAAGCCCTGCTTGTTCCCGGGTAACAGCACTCGTGGGCCGCCGACACCGGGCCGCATGCGGGAGTCACCGCGTGACCCCTACAAAGTGCACAGACACACACACACACACACTCATGTTGGTTTAGCTATACTTGTGAGGACCTCATAGACGTAGTGGTTTTTATACTGACTGACAAACTGTACACTCTAAAAAATGCTGGGTTGTTTCAACCCAAATTTGGGTCAAATATGGACAAACCCAAATGTTGGGTTAAAAATGTTTTAACCCAACTTCAACTTTCACTTTCAACTGTACATTTTTAATTACATTTTTAACCCAACATTTGGGTTTGTCCATATTTGACCCAACTTTGGGTTGAAACAACCCAGCATTTTTTAGAGTGTATATTCTCTGTAAACCTGCCCATCACACAAAACTTTCTGCATTTTTACATTTTCAAAAAAACACATCAACCTCACAAGTATAGCTAAACATGCCCATTCGCACGCACACACACACACACACACACTCTCTGTCTCTCTCTCTCACACACACACACACACACACACACACGAGAGAAAACCCTAGTTAATCTTGGCCAATTAACACGTTACTCTCAAAACACACTCTGAGACTGACTGATTTCTGAACAGAATCTACTCGGACTATTTCTGCAATATTTCAAAGTATGCAAATGTTCTGCAAACATGTTCTTTGCAAAAAATGCGTGCAATATGCAAAGAATAATGTGTCCCACAATGCAATGTGCTCAACCTGCCCTATTTCAGATTACAGTGTTGTTTTAGTATTGAGATGTGATTATATATATATATATTTTTTTTTTTTTTTTTTTTTTTTATTCACATTTTTATTTTAGTTAAAGGTTTGGTAAAAAAAATTGTATGTGTTTTAGCCATTTTTAATAGTTATTTTTTTTTTATATATGGCTATATAGGTTTTAAAGTTGAACTAAATGAAAAATGATTTCAGTTACTGTTTATTGAATTTAAAATGTTTTTATGTTTTTTGTTTTAGTTTTGGTTAACGAACTAGAAATAATTACAGCTGTGATTTTGATACATTATTTATCGAGACTGACAAAAAGTTCAGATATTATTATGCACAATTAAATCACAATTTTCTCAGATGCAACTTCGAGTTTTGAAAAAATGTCGAGATTACTTTTTATGTACAGATATTATGTACAATAGTGTTCTAACATAAAATATAAATATAATCTAAAAATATAAAATATAATGTTAGTACCTGTATGTAACACAAATAAGGGTGTGTGAAAAAACGATTTAAAAAAATGTGTTGATTCAGGGTTCAATTATTGCCATATTATTAAAATAATTAGTAAAAGTCCTACATACTAACTGAAATAAGTTTGTTAAAGCACTAAAAATACTGGGGGAAAAACTAAACTAAAAATAAATTAAACCTAAATAGAAAAACTTTGATCAGTGAAACTTTGCAGACATTTTACATTCACAAAACAGCTGCATTACACACTCCATGACAGGGAATATCCAACCCGATCTCATGGCAATTCGTACGAATCAGCCACATTTTACTCACTCGTACGGGCGTGAGAATCAGCCACATTTTACTCACTAATTGGTCGTAAGATAGCGTTGGAACATCCCGAAAAAAGCAATTTAACTAATATAAATGACAAAAGAACATAACAAAAAATTAAGCTAAAAAACTAAAAAGCTAATTCAAAGTATTAATAAATACTAAAACAGTACATAAATAATACCTAAATAACACTGGTGCCAGTAAATGCCCCCCCACACACACACAGACACACACTCTCTCTCTCACACACACACACACACACACACACACACTCTCTTTCTTCAAAGCATGTATCTGTGGCCTGCGCTGTCAAACTTTTAGCACCTGTCATCCTGCGGCCCGCCGGTCGATGTCTTCAGCGTTCGGAGAGGAGCGAGAGATCAGAGGCGAGAAACGGGTCAGGCCCGGCCCAGGGGTCACACAGAGGTCAGCTCCGGTTAGGAGGCCACAACTAAACTAAACGGGACCAGACAGAAACGGGCTTCACAAATCCGGCCCGTCTCAGGCATGAGGTTATTCGTGGAGAGCTGATACAGGACTCATCCGTGTGTCTTTTAATGGTATTATGTGGTTCCCTTGGATGAATACAGGAGATGAGATGGAACTGACCCGCAGAATATTCAATCCGCAATCTGCATCTGTGCATATACGCACATCTAATCCATCATCTTAGAGAGACTGGGGTTCAAAAATATCATGCAATTCCCCAGATGTGCTTTAGAACAAACACCGAATTTCATTTTATTTTGGAAAAGGAGTTTGTTCATGCAAAAGCCATCATGTTTCTCATGCAAAACTATCATATGGCTTTAAAAGATATAGTGCACGAGCTGCTTTTGTTATTTTCGAAGCTTGATAGAATCTGTTCACATTCAATGAACAATTTGCAATATATCTTCCTTTCCGGAAGAAAGTCATTCAGGTCTGAAGTAAGTAAATAATGGCAGAATTCAAATTTTTGTGCAATTTATTCCTTTAAATGTTATATTGGCCTTTTTACTGGTAGTACAGTATGAAAAGGACCAGATTGGATTAAACAGCTGCATTTCCACAACATTAATTATCAGAGAAAAGGCCTTAATTAGTATTAAAGAGATAGTTCACCCAATAATGATTAAAATATATATATATATAATTCTTACACTTATGTTGTTTTAACCGCAACTGCATTTCTTTCTTTCTTTTTCTGTGGAACATAAAAGAAGATATTATGAAGACAAAACAACTTTGGACCCCATTGACTTTCAATGTGTGCACAAAAATACCCACTGAAACATGTTTCAAAATATCTTCTTATGTGTTCTATAGAAGAAAGAAAGTCATGTAGTGAGTAAATGGTGACAATGTTCACGTTTTTGACTTATTTACTCCTTTAAATGTTATGGTTGACAAAAAGGGGTGAAACCGGACAAGATTAACGGGACTAAAACTCACATCGCCCGACATACAGTATCAGAGAACATGTACAAAAGTCATCATTTACTCACCGTTGTTGTTCCAGTCCAGTGTGCATTTCTTTTTTCACAGAAACATCATTGGACCCCATTGACTTTCACTGTATGGACAAAACAACAGACATTTTTCTTTTGTGTTTTTTACACAAAAAAGAAAGTCATGCAGTGATGAAAAAATTGGCATTTTGAGATGATTTACTCCTTCAAATGTTATGGTTGGTCTTTTCACCTACAGTACAGTAGGAAAAGGATAAGACTGAATGAAAAAGAGAGAAAAAAAAAATCACCATGACTTTCCAATCCAGCAACATGGATGTTTACTGCATGGACAGAAAAGCATTTTTCATATCTTCTTTTGAGTTGAACAGAAGAAAGTCCAGAGGTTTGGAAGGAGTAAATGATGACAGAACTGGCACTTCTGGGTGAACTCTCGCTTCAGCATTGATTTGTTTGGGGCTTGTGTTACGTGGAGTCCAGGAACATTTAGGGGTCACTTGACGTTACTGAACATTTACACAAAAAGCTCTGACAGCAAACAGGCATCGGATACTCAATGAGCACCGATTGAAAACACTGACATTCATCTCTTTAAAGAGCGAGTGTCACTGACCTTCATGTGCAAATAAATCCTGATCCCAGAAAACAGGGAACGCTCTCTCAAAGCTATGAACAAACGTTCTTCCAGTAACATTAATACGCTTGTTCAAAGTTATCTTTCAGTTGGAATGTTCGTCTAACATTTTTTGAATGTTACTTGTTTCGGAATGTTCAGAGAACATTCAAATGCAACATTCTCATAATGATTCCAAAATGGAATGTTCCCTTCACGTTCTCGTTTAACCGTTTTTAAAACTGGACGTTCTGAGAACATTCAGAGATGACGTTTAAATGGGAACGTTCTTTAACCCTTTCATGCATGAATTATGATAACCTCAGTCAGGACTTTTTTCCTATGTGTTTTTATTGCTCTTAGGGCATGAAAAACAAGATTTGATTTTTAATTTTTTTTTTTACACATTTTCCAAAGAGATTTTCAGGTGTCCACTTGAGTGGACAGCATGCATTTATGGTTTAAACTGAAGAGATACTATATTAAACATAATACAATAATCAAACAGATAAAGGATGTGTATTTAACAAACTAATCAATACAATTATATCAAATCATGTGAAAACTATAAAATATACACAAAAAATATAAATTCGAAATATTGCAAATGCAATTGAACTTCATACAAGTTGCACTTCGTGTATCTTTGATATCAGAACATGAGGACGTGATTCCATCAGAAATTTCTACAGCCTGTCAAGGTACAACAGTGGAAACCAGTCAGATGCTCCCTCCAGTGTGCCAGAGTATGTCAATTTACCTTTATTAGCTGATCATTCTGATTATGTTCAAGATAGACACATTTCTAGCATAGGCCTCTTCTGAGAAAACCTAGCGATACGTATTTTTCAATCTCATCTGAAATTAGCAGTGTTGGGGCATGCATAACGCATTCAGATTACTTTTTTGATGTTACAAGTAAAGTAATGTGTCACAAGTAACGTGCATTACATATTCAGATTTGTTTTAATGTTACGAGTAAAGTAATGTATTACAAGTAACATGTAATTACCTAATCAGACTACTTTTTGATCTAACCAGTAAAGTAATTAATTACAAGTAATGTGCATTACGTAATCAGATTACTTTTTGGTGTTACAAGTAAAGAAAAGCATTACAATATAGTACATTACGAAATCAGATTACTTTTTGATCTAACAAGTAAAGTAATGCATTACAAGTAACATGCATTACGTAATCAGATTACTTTTTGATGTTACGAGTAAATAAATGCATTACAAGTAGGGTTGGGTACCGAAACTCGGTGCCAATAGGGAACCGGTTCCGACGTAAACGGTAGTAACCAGACCGAATAAGAACGACAATTTCGGTGCCTGATTTCGGTGCCTGACTTAATTAGGCACACACACAGTCTCTTCTGTCTCGCATGCGCGGTCTTGCTCGCAAGGTTTGGCTGCATTTCACGTGTAAAATTACGCGTCAGAACGCCCTCTGGGTGTGCCGATAGTCTGAATCCATATAGAATCAAGCCAATTCATTGGCTGATGGCGCGGGCGCCGCCTCGACGCACTTACGTCGTCATTTTATGTTGGCGCGCGCGCGCCATCTGCTCCTCAGATTTCTTTGCCGAAAAAGGAAGCTGGTCGGCAGCGCAAGGAGCTTGGCAGCGTCTCGTTCCCTATTGAGAGATATGTTACACCAGTAACCAGAGATGTTCTCTTTCATAGGTTCACTCAACGCTGCGTAGCTAAGAAGCAGTGGATTTGTATTTGTAGGCTGCTGTATCACGTGCCGTTTGAACTGACGCGCTACAGCGATCTGTCACATTTCAAAGAGCCAAAACGTTATTTATTGTGTGAATCTCGTAAAAATATTGACAGAATCTGACAGCTGTGGATTTTTTCCATATCAAAAGTAACCTTGTCTGTCGGTGTCAGTGTCCTCTTTGTCCGCGATTTTTCTCTGCGTGAGAAAATGGATGTGTGGCGTGCGTGAGAGCGTGTGAAAAGGGTCATTTGCGTGAGTCTCACGGTCAATGCGTGAGAGTTGGCAGCTCTGCCTGCTAGTAATCTCTATTAATCTCCAGTATTATTACATTGTTTGATACAATATTGTTTTATTTGATATGATGTAAATGTGAATTTTTATTTTATATTGGTTTTATTATTATTTTTATTTATATTGTTTAAAGATTTAAGTTAATATTGTGTCCAGTTTGGCCCTGTAAATAAAAGGGTATTATTTTTTGATAAAGTGTGTGCGGTTTCGTTTTCTTAAGTACCGTTTCAAGAACCGTTTAGGCACCGGAACCGTTTAAAAAATATTGAGTAGGTACTGGTATCGGATAAAACCCAACCGATACCCAACCCTAATTACAAGCAACATTCATTGCGTAAACAGATAACTTTTTGATCTAACAAGTAATGCATTACATAATTAGATTACTTTTTTGATGAAATGAGTAAAGTAATACATAAATCACATAAATTTTGTAATCACTGTCAATGAAATTAACATTCTAATAATACAAATACATTTATTTACAGTAAAAAAAAACGTCACTGCAGATTTTCAAAAACAATATTCACAGTATAAGTATGAATTGTAGCTGAAATATAGCCATTGATGCATGAGGTCCACTATAATGGACAGGTGATTAATCAGATTTTTCTCCCAATCTAAAATCAAAACTTGGAAAATTTTACTGTCATATGACTCATTAGATATTGCTTGATGCTGCAATATTTTTTTTTACCTACAAGAGTCTCCTAGGATAGAAGGAATGGGTGGATATTCCGGAGCAACTTGGCATGTCTGACTGACCATTGGCCATCTTGGTTTGGAGGGGGAAAAACTCGAAACACAACGGCTTGCAACTTAGTTGCAATGTATAGGATGATGCACCAGGGTCCACTGAAGAGATTGATGTGCAACTTTGCCATCAAAACCCTTGCAAATTCAAGAAAATGCTTTTTTAATAGCTGTCCACTGTAGTGACCACTATGCATATTGTTCTCAAAATGTTAGCACAAATTGTTCATGGAAGGTTTTTCAGTTGGATGTTCGTCTAACACTTTTTTGAATGTTACTTGTTTCGGAATGTTCAGAGAACATTCAAATGTAACATTCTCATAATGATTGCAAAATGGAATGTTCCCTTAAAGTTGGTTTTAAAACTGGACGTTCTAAGAGCATTCAGAGATGACGTTTAAATGTGAACGTTCTCATATGGGATATGGCAGACGAGAGCAGGTGAAAGCAGACGCGAGCGCAGACGAAACACACTAATGGCTCAGTTTCTCAGCTCGCCTCCCGCCGCGGCTCTCAGCATCGAGATCCTCTAATGAGACGTACGGCGTTAATCCTGTCAACGGCGTTCATGAATCTAGCGCCGAGCAAAGGCTTCAGCGGCCGATCGCATCATAAAGCAGGAATGCAACGCTTTC